TGGAAAGTCACATATACAGAGAGGAGGAGAGACTGAGTCACTTCTGTCCACTGATTCACTCCCCATGCAGCCACAATGGCTGAGCTGCACTAATCTGAAGCCAGGAGCCCAGAGCCTCCTCCAGGTTTCCCACACAGGTGCAGGGTTCCAAGGCTTTGGGCTGTCCTCCACTGCTTTCCCAGGCCACAAACAGAGAGCTGGATGGGAAATGGGGCTATCAGGATTAGAACTGGTGCCAAATGGGATCCTGGAATGTGCAAGGTGAGGACTCTAGCCACTAGGCTACTGCGCCAGACCCTATTTATTTGTTCACTTATTTTAATTGGAAAGTCAGAATTACAGAGAGGAGAAACAGAGAGAAGGATCTTTCTCCACTGGTTCACTCCTCAAATGGCCACAATGGCTGGAACTAAGCTGATCCAGGAGCCAGAAGCCTCTTCTGGGTCTCCCATATGGGTGCAGGGTCCCAAAGCTTTGGGCCACAAGCAAGGAGCTGGTTGGGAAGCGGGGCTGCCGGGATTAGAGCTGGTACCCACCTGGGATCCTGGAGTGTGCAAGGTGAGAACTTCATGCTGGGCCCTATCCAGACTCTTCTGAATGCTCCTGGGAAAGCAGCACGTCATGGCTCAAGTACCTGAGTCCCTGCCTTCCATGTGGGTGATCTGAATGGAGTTATATAGGCTCCTGAATTCAATTTGACCTAGTTCCAGCTTTTGGGAATGTTTGGGGAGTGAATCAGCAAGCAGAGGGTCTTTCTGAATTTAAAATGAAAATAATTAAAATTTTGAATTGTTCAAATTGCTATGTTATACAAGCATATTCTTTATATTCAGTTTATTAATAGAGGAACTATGGTCTTCTAGGCGTTGTGCAATCGATAACTTACATCAGATAGTTTATGCATTTCTTATTATACACTGTGTATATGTATAGATATATGCAAGTATTCGTGTGCATATAAGTATATCTATGTATATAATTTATAGTAATGTTTTACATATTTGTTTGAAAATCAGAGCTGCAGACAGGGAGAGAGAGAGATCTTGGATCCACTGGTTCACTCCACAGATGGCCACAATGACTAGAACAGAGCTAAGTCAGGAACCAGGAGCTTCATCTGGGACCTCCCGCAGGAGTGCAGGAGCACAAGAACTTGGGCCATCTGCTGCTCTTCCCAAGCCATTAGAGTGGGGGTGCTGTCAGAAGTGGAATAGCCAGGACACAAAGCCGTGCCTGTGTGGGAATGCTGCAGCCAGACACAAAGCCATGCCCATGTGGAATGCTGGCATCACCGTCGGAGGCTCTGCCATAACACCTGGCCCTCAAATTGGATTTCAAGGTCATTGGCAGCAGGAAGTGTGACTCCAACTTGTATATATCTAAAGAGTCCAACATGGTCCAGTGTGAACAGCAGGTACAGGCAAGTGTTTCTTGCTGGATCATTCTTATTTCTAGGCTTCACATACAGTGTGAAGTTAACAGTAGATCTTGTATAAATTACATTTCAATTTAACAAACATATCATACCTCATATATAGTAAAGCATGATGCATGCTATAAAACCAGCTTACAGGAACTTAATATGCTTTGTGGTAACCATTATATGGCCTATATAGAGTGAAAAAAGTGAGTTTACAGATGTAAATGCTGCTTCAGAAAAGGGATAGATTAGAAAGGAAAAATGCATACCATTTGAAATGGCATCTAGAGGTAATAATTGTTAGAGGTGGACCTTGAGGGACTGATGGGATTTGAGCAGTGAATAGAGCAGCAGGTGCTCCCGTGTGGGCACGCAGGGTGAACATCAGTGATCATAAAGATGAGGTCTGCACCTGCATGAGGAATGACACCCAAAGGACTTCCTGCATAGTAAGTCTGAGCAGTGGGGACACAGACCTGGCTGTAACTATTGAGCTACAAGAGCATATAAACAGGGATCTGGCGGGGTAGTCTAGTGGCTGAAGCCCTCAACTTGCATGCACCAGGATCCCATATAGGCGCCGGTTTGTGTCCTGGTTGCTCCACTTCCCACCCAGCTCCCTGCCTGTGGCCTGGGAAAGCAGTGGAGTACAGCCCAAAGCCTTGAGGCCTTGCACCCGCGTGAGAGAACCAGAAGAGGCTCCAGTCTCTTTGCTTCAGATCAGCACAGCTCTGGCTGTGGCAGCCGCTTGGGGAGTGAATCTCCTCTTCTCTGTCAATCTGACTTTCCAGTAAAAATATAAATACATATTTTTTTGAAAAGGAAAAAAAAGCAGATAAGCAGAGGAAAGTGTTTAAGCCCCAGAGATTGAACTTTCTAACACAAGAGGGAGTTCTTGAAGATTTTTTTTAAAAAATAGAAACTACAAATAACCGAAGTAGTGATTGAACTGAAGTGTGTTGATCCGCTGTGCTGCATAAAGAGCAGGGGCGGGACAGGACTCATGGATAGGACTCATGGACAGGACTCCTGGCAGAGCACTCATGGCAGTGAGCACAGCTAGCTCTCCAGAATCTTCAAGGTTTCACCTTTAAAGATTTTTCTCTTTGAGATTATGAACTATGCATTTAAAGTCATTCTTGGTTTCATCAGGATTCTTTAAGGTGATAGTATTTGATTAATTTCAAAAGTTACTAGTTTTACCTGAGGTTTAAGCAAGCAAGAATGCAGCCGGTTCTCCCAGGGTGTTGGAGCGGGGGTTGATAGGGACAGAACAGCCTCAATTTGCTTTGTTTCTCTTGTAGGGTTTTATTTATTTATTTATTTTGGTCTAACATTCAATTTTCACATTAGATATTAAAGTGACAATCATATAGACAACTTTATACATTTTAATTTTGAAATGTTAATTGCTGTTACAAATATTTTCTTCAGAAAGACATTGTCACTCTGAATTGTCCCAGTTTATGACTGCCTTTAAAATTAATAGATAAATCTTTTGTAAAAAGTTAATACTGTATTGACTTTGGCATTGCTTTTTTTCATCTGTGTGCTTCTGTCTTTTTCCTTTTGCCTCAAGAGCATTGCCTGACTCCGTCCTCTAGGAAGGTCGCTGCTAAGTGCAGTATATAAAGATAGCTCCTAATAATGTCTGTCAAGAAGGCTGTTGTCGGGGAGGGGCAGAACTTAGAACACATCACACCAAGTGTTATAATTAAGCACAAGGTCTGAGCAGGAGTTGCTAAGAACAGTAAGAGAATGGGATGCGGAAGGGAAGGGTCAGAGCAAGTGATATTTGAATTGAATTTTAGAAGCCAGAAGTTTGAACAAAAGATAGGATTCCTGGTGGAGACAGCAAAATAAGTTGCTTTATTGTCTAATTCTGTGGTGTTCACCAGCAACTTACTTCTGGCCCCCAACTGGCGTTGAAAATAGAAAGGAAGTTTTTTAGAGTCAAAGGAAGTGTTCTTTCTTTTATAATTTTTATTTATTTGAAAGGTAGAAAGAAATGCAATAGAGACAGGTTTTTTCTCCATTGGTTCATTCTTCAAAGGCCCACAGCAGCAGGGCTGGGCCAGGCTGACACCAGGAGCCCAGAACTCCAGCCAGGTCTCCCCCATGGATGGCAGGGATTCAAGAACTTGAACCATAATCTCTGCCTCCCTGGACACACGTTAGCAGGAAGCTGAACTTGAATGCAAGCATTGAGCCCTAATACTCCAGTATGAAGCGCAGGCACCACAAGTTGTGTCTTATCCACTGTGCCAAACATCCACCCTTTGCTTTTTGTTTTTAGTAGCTCAGAGCCTGGAGTGGACACTAGCACAGCAGATGACGTTGCTTGCCAAGCCAGCATCCCATCTCAGAGAGTGCTGGCTACTTAGCCTCTAATCCCACTTGCTCTAAAGCACTTAGGAAGGCACCATGTGCTGGCCCAAGTTCTTGACCCCTGCTCCCTGTGTGAGAGACCTGACTGGAGCTCCCAGCTTCTGACTGCAGCCTTACAACTGTGGCCATGTGGGAAGTGAGCCATAGATGAAAGATGGATACCTCTCATTCCATGCATCTCTGTCACTCTGCCTTTCAAATAAATTAGATAGTTCCTCAAAAATAAAAAGCATCCAGAGCCTGAAAGTGCTGGTTGCATATAAATGTATGTTATAAGTATGTTATCATCTGCATTGTAGCTTGTTAGTGATTTATACAATTTCTATATTCTTTTTCCCATTTGGGGAACCTTAAATGATATAACCTTCCTTTTACTCTTATCGTCTTGTTATTCTTCTAGTTTGATGAACCCAACCTCCCCAAAATAAGTTCTCAATTTGCACCTGGAAATTCAAACAGACCTATGACTCTTAGATTGAGTAGACAGGCCTACATCAAGTTCATCTTAAGTCTTAGTTTCTTAGAATTTCTTCTGTTTCTTCTATTTGTAATAAATGCTGCTTGTTTGTTTCATTCCACGCACTATTATAGATACTTTGATGAATTCAATGATTGCAATGGACACAGATCTCAAACCGGAAGGAACTTACATCCTAGTCATTGTCACAACCCTGGAAGAGTGTTTCTTTTCTTCCCTATCCACAAAAGGTTTAATTATAATTTTGCTGCTACCCAATGCAGGCTCTTTAACGTCCCTCATGCCAATATGGAGGAAAGAAGACACTCTGTGTTTCAGGGGAAGGAGGCTTTACCAGCTCGGGGCTGGGTGAGAATGGACCTGTGAGATGAGGCACATTTTCCCCAGTTTGTCTTGTAAGGGATGAGAGTTCGAAGATACTAAAAATATGGTGGTTTCAGAGACTGATACGTGGGTGCTGGCAGAAATTTTTGAAGGCAAGCTATTTGAAGCTGTCTTTGCTTTGTACTTCAGTTAGAAGAGAGGGAGAAGGCAGCCACCAAATGACTAAGGCAGCAATTATAGTTTGGGTGTGCTTTAAATAGGCAGCAGATAGAAGTGTAATATGAATGCAGGAGAGTTAAATAGGGAGGAAATCCTGGTTATTGGAAGTGCAATGGGGTTGGGTGGCGTGTCTTGGGTTTTTCTTTATGTAGAATTCTTACTGTTCTGTAGGTGCCGTGCCTGCTCCCTTGGAGAAGAGCCCCTCCCCCCAGACAGCTGTGAGTCTGGACCAGAGTTCAGACAGTACCATTACAAGTGCTGTGACCGAAGACCCCCTGCCCACACCTCCTGACAGCACAGCAGCTGCCGGAAGCTGTGAGACCCTGACGGCTCTGCCAACATTCTGGTACTCAAGTAAAGAAGAGTTTATCAGCCACAATTTCAAGATCTCCAAGTCAGACTCTACCTTCTATAACCAAGCCTCTGTGGAGACACTGTACGTGTCTCCCTCATTCAGAACATTTAACCCAATGAAGGAGATCGTTATCGACAAGGACCGCCCGAAACCACTGGAACCTGAGAGCATCCCCATGGCAGATGAGAACCCGGCCTCCATCACCAGGGGTGAGTCTCCAAAAAACAAACCCTAGCAACAGGAAACCTGTCTCGAAGTCTTCTGCTTTCCCTTTCCTATGCTTTCCATGTTGCCTCCCACCACCACTTCCTTTCACTCTCCATCGATGATGTTAGCATGTACATGCCAAATACTTCTCTGTTGTGAAACTGTTTTATTAAAGGCCGATGGAGAATTCGTTACCATGGGTTACAGGTGCCCCGTTGACTACACTGCTCTAGGTTCTCACAGCAAACTAGAAGGAACTAAGGCTGGGTGAGAGTTTCCTACTAGGGATGTGCTGTCTGAGGAAGAACTGGCCGTGACTACGCACACACAGAGGTGGCATTGTGTGCTCAGCACACAAAGGGAGCAGAGCAGCGCCTCCTTTTCCTGTCTTCCAGAAGCTTTGGAATTGCTTAGACTGGGTGATACTGGACAAAACTAGTTGAAATTCCAGGTTGTGGGCTGTCAGCTATTAATGCATGCATTATATAATTATGCATCCTTCATTAAAGTTAATCAGTAGAATAATGATTTGCTTATGCATTTTTCAAAGATTAAATAGTGGTTATATTCTCATGGATAGTAGTGTTTACCAACTGATAAATAACAAGCTTTTTTATAAATAAATTTACAGATGTATTCCAAAGTTAGAACTCATCTAGTTTATTTTTTTAAGATTTATTTATTCTTATTTGAAAGGCACATTTACAGAGAGAAGGAGAAACACAGACACACACAGAATCTTCCATCTGCTGCTTCACTCCCCAAATAGCTACAGTGGTGAGAGCTAAGCCTATCCGAAGCAAGTCACTCCTTCCAGGTCTCCCACATGGGTGCAGGGTCCCACTGCCTTCTCAGGCCATAAGAGGATAGCTAGATCAGATGTGGAGCAGCTGGGATACTGACCAGCACTGACATAGGATACTAAAACCACAGGCAGAGGCTTAGCTTACCATGCCACGATGCCAGCCTCTATTTTTTTTCTATATTTGTTTTAGATTTTTTTTTTTTAATGGAAAGGCAGATGTACAAAGAGGAGGAGAGACAGAGAGGAAGATCTGTCCAATGATTCACTCCGCAAGTGGCCACAACAGCCAGCGTTGCGCTGATCTGAAGCCAGGAGCCAGGAACTTCTTTCTGGGTCTCCCACGTGGGTGCAGGGTCCCAAGGCTTTGGGCTGTCCTCCACTGCTTTCCCAGGCCACAAGCAGGGAGCTGGATGGGAAGTGGAGCTGCCAGGATTAGAACCGGTGCCCATATGGGATCCCACATGATAAAGGCAAGGACCTTAACCATTACACTATCGTGCCAGGCCCAACACCAGCCTCCAGATAGCATGCTTTTAACATAAATCTTTCAAGCTACTTTGAAATAGAGATTAAAGCTACATGTAAATTCAAACAGTAGAAGCTATCATGTTAAGTTAAAGAGATTTACTTTGGTTCTATAAAGGTTAATGAATAATAAAAATTTTTACCACCATTTTGAGAAATTTTTTGTATTGAACAACCTAAAGGAAGTAAAACAGATTCTTGGTTATCACCAAATTAATCTTTGTGCTGAAACTACTGATGTGGAGACCATCGGGGACCCGGCTATGGTAATTGTGACACTGTGCAAAGCTGTGCCCTGGGAAGCTGCTGCTTTTCATTCATCCCTTTCACAGTAGCACAAGAAATTGAAAATATGCTTTGGGCACTGTTTGTGTACTGAGTAAGCTTAGCAAAACTTAGTAATATGTTCCTCTGAAACTGGTTAGCAAAAAGGACTTTGGGTTCTGTTCAGAATGAAGTAAATAGATTGACCTAACCCCTCCTCCAAAAATAACCATTCAAGCTGGAAAATTGTAGGAAGCTGATTTAAAGTCATTGTCAAGTCGCCAGGCAGATGCAGGCTGATCCAGGAAGATCCCAGGTGAGGAAGGCTGTCGGGAGGAGGCCTGGAGTCAGTTACCTCTTCGCAGAGAGAGGCTGCAGATGCCGAGCAACAGTCAGAGGCTCCGGGCATGCAGTCTCCCTCAGAAGCTCAGAAGCCAGGGAGGAACGGGGGCTGCTGTGGAGCCAGGGCCAGACGGGAGGGAAATGCAGAGAAAATTCTCTGACTCATTGCATAATTGCGAATATTCTGGATGTGGATGCCAAGAAGCTAAATGGGAAATCTCTGAGAAGCCAATGAGCCAACCAAGATTCGGATGGTTCTGTGCTGCCGGAACACAGGAGTTAGAGTTCAAAAACAGGCCAGAGTGTAGAGGGCCCTGCTGTCAGCTGAGGCCACTAACACACTGTGCTTTCAGAGCTGCACTGGGCGTGAGGCAGCCCAGGAACAGAGCAGGCTCACATGCCCTGCTGTCAGCTGAGGCCACTAACACACTGTGCTTTCAGAGCTGCACTGGGCGTGAGGCAGCCCAGGAACAGAGCAGGCTCACATGCCCAGCTTCCCCCAGAGTAGGGGAGGGTTTGCCAGTGGCCTAAGAAGACAATCAGATCCTTGTGTGAGAGTTTCTGCAATTTCTAATGGAAAAAAGTGTGCTCAACAGCACACACAAAAAAAAAAAATTCCAGGAAACGGACAAACACAGGAGAGAATCCGACAGTGTAAACAGACTTGTAACCTAGACTCTTCAACGTAATGAATAGATGCTTTAAAATGTGGTTAATATGACCTAGAAGATAGAGGAAAAGATGGAGAATTTCATCAGAGTACTAATAGCTGTTTAAAACAAGACCCCCAAAAAAGAAAGTCTTAGAGCTGAAATGGGGACCCTGAGGATGCCTTCCTGGCCACGTGGTCTGAGAGTAGAGCGTGCTGACAGAGAACCTGGAAAGTTATGAAGAAAAGCCTTCACAGAAGATTCCTCCCAGTTCAAGTGCAAACTCATCCCAGGTCTTGGACCCCTCTGCTATGCTTATAGATGTAAGCCGGGCAGCCAGTGAATCTTACTTACAAAAGGTAAATTCCAGGGGCCGGCACAGTGGCATAGCCAGCTTGTCAGTTCTCCGTCTGTGGCACCAGGATCCCATGTGGGCACTTGCGCAAGCTCCAGCTGCTCCATTTCCAGTCCAGCCCCCTGCTTTGGCCTGCGGAAGCAGAAGATGGTCCAAAGCCTTGCAGCCACCTGGGAGACATGGAGACGCCCCCGGCACCTGGGTTTGGACAGGCACGACTCTGGCCATCGCTACTGTCTGGGGAATGATCAGTAATGGAAAATCTTGCTCTCTGTCTCCTCTGTAGCTCTTTCTAGTGAAATAAATAAATCTTTAAACTAAAAGTTCTGCTAGAAGCCTAAAAGAATTGAAAAGAGGTATCAGCTTTTGCTCACCATAAGGGTGACAGCTTAGAAATTCCAGGCTTTCTTACTGAAACAAAAATCACTAGTCAGGAGAATTTTACAAAATCCAGAAATGCTACAATGTATCATTCAAATGTCTACTATAAAATTAAAAATTCCTGGGCATGTGAAAAAATAGGAAAATATGAGTCATAATGAGGATATCGGAAGTCGATAGAAACTGGCCCTTGGGTGACCAGAAGTTTCCATCAGCAGCCAAGTTCTTAGAGCAGCTCTTGTGAATCCATGCAGGGGCTTCAAATATAGCGAGTGAATGTAAAGAAGAAACTTGACAAAGAGGGCATTTCAGAAAGTTTGAGGAAAAAAAATGGAGTTAGAAGATAAGGAAGGAAAAGTGCAAAAAGTAAAAGTAAATGAGCTCAAACAAATTGTTCAACCTGAAAAATGAAAATAAAAGTTCAAAATACAGAGATCTAAAGTCTTGTGGGAAAATATCAACTAGTCACCTTGTTGCCATTATATTTTCAAAACATGGCAAAAAACATGAGGAAAAAGAAAGGAGCAGAAAAATATTTAAAGAGTTATTAGCCAAAGGCTTTCCAGATTTGTGAAACTCCCAGAATGCTCAGGGAATTCCAAGCTTAAAAATAAATACAAGGCAGAGCAGTGGACAGCATACCCAGGTGCACATGGAGGCTGGGGCAGTCCATCCAAGTCTGCAGGGGACACCTGGTACCACAACAAAGGACGGAGGATGGAACAAACGGATCAACTATCCCAGCCAAGAGCTAGCAGTGAATATCTGGGCAAACGAACACTCTAAGGTGGACTACGTCAGTGGAGTCTGGAGAGATTTCATCGTGCTTGGAGTGGTGAGATCAGCAGTAATTCAGAAGTGTTGAAGTATCGAAACCTCATGAGCAAGACCCTCAGAGCATGCCCCACATTAAAAATTAAAATAATCATTTTTAATTAATTTATTTATTCTTAAAAAGAATAAATACAAGGAAAACTATACCCAGGCATTATAGTTAACATAAATCTTCAAAGCAGCGAGGAAATATTGTCACATCATGTACAAAGGAACAATACGAGAGAAATTTCTAGATTGTCCTTATAAGCAGTATATACCAAGAGACAACAAAATGTCATTTCACAAGTGTTAATAGATGGAATCTCGGGCAGGCCTTTGGAGTGCCATGGGTTTGTTCCTAGTTCCAGCAACCAATTCCAGTTTCCTGGCGATACAGACCTAGGAAGCAGCCAGGACACGAACTGATGCCCACATGGGATGCTGACACTGCAGGTGGAGAATTAGCCTGTTGAGCCACTATGCTGGCCTCTTCTTACATTCTTAATTATAATGTTTTATCATTTATTTCTTTAAAAATTAATTTGGCCTTTAATTTCTCCTAATAATTTTGTTAATAGACAGGAAGGAGAGAGATAGAATATGTGTGTGACATTGACAGATTGAACAATAATTATTGCAAGTTCTTGAAATCTCTGTATTGATAAGCAAGGGCCAGGCCATTTTTGTATTTGGTTGTTTAGGACATAGTTCGGAGACTCCAGTTTGACAAAGGGCTACTGGGAAGAAGCATGGGCCCACCGGGAATGAGGCAGAGGTGCCCATTTGCTGGATGGCATAGGTCCTGAGTATAATGCCCCTGACCCTGTCATCCTGGACCCGTGCCACCCTGAACACCTATTTACC